ACAGACGAACCAGAACCACCAAGATGGTCTCAGGGGTCATCACACCCCGCCTTACAAAGGGGGTCCGACGGGATCATCAGAGCATCAACTGACACACAGACAGTTGGAGCAGCCAGCAGCCATATTGACTGTTTCCGGATCAGCGCACACTTTAAACAGTCAAAACCAAACGTAGATTTTGGAGAGCAGCTCAAAATGGTCCAATGCAGCAGATACAGAATCAAAGCAGTCACCGGCTGAATGTTTACTGACAAGCCGATAAGACCGACGCAAACGGTTCACCACCAAACCGCACTGCTGACAACTTCCTGTTCCTCAAACGTCAGCCCAGCTCTCTGCACTCCCACTGGTTCTGGTTCTGGTTCTGGTACTGCCAGGCAAGGCTCGATCTCCTTAAACACACCCGGCTCAAACAAAGACAACAAAACAAATCCCAAATTTCAACTACACTTTTTGTTTCCCTCTCTGAGACTAAACTGATCAACGCTACAGCTCACCTGGTTGAGCTGCTGACCCAGGTACAGGGCTGTAGTCCCCGATGCAGCGGCCGTGGGTTCGAATCCTGCTGCAACCCCGTCCCCCATTTTCAACTGTCCTATCCGATAAAGGCAAAAAGGCCAAAAAAATAGCTTAAAAAAAAAGATCAACTATTTGAAATGATATTAATAATGTGTCTTGCAGCCATAGAAACCATCATTTTAAATGTGTCATCACAGATAGTCAAGTGTTCACCAGTAAACACACAAATGATGCCCTTCAGAGAGTTTCCCCCTGACTGACTAGAAACTCCCCCCTAGTCCTCATGTGGTTCTGTGGTGGGTGTATTCAGCACTAAACCAGCAAGTCTGTGAAGCCCCCTGCAGCAGGAAACCCCACAAAACCACATGGAGTGCCCCCGAGATATCTGTCCAAAGATAACCAACGCTCCCCACAGCACGACCACGACCAAAAACTGACACAGCCCGAAGAGGACGTGTCCTTTAGCCTACCGGAGAAATAACGTTGTAGGTTCTGAATCACTGACATGACGAGAAAAAGCAGTGAACATTTCAGGTTTTTATCTTAATAGTTCCTCAGATGTTGCTGCTCGAATTTCCATGTGAGAAAAAACCTGCTGGAAGACGGTCGGCTGGCAGGATTCTGAACTTAAAAGTACAGTCGTGACTCAACAATCCGACGCTAAATGTAAAACCTTCCTTTATGTCTGATAGCAAGGCTGTCGGATTGTCAAGACGGAGGTCCAGATACGAGGAGGGCTTGATGCTGGAATGGACAGGATGGACGGGGTGGAAGTGTCCAGAACACACAGGCAGTACTTGGCTGCTGATGCTAGTTTAGTTAGCGCTCACACTTCTGTTTCCTCCATCGGTGGCGGTGGGGGAGTGGCAGATACGCTCCACCGTTACCATCCATGTTTACTTCCATAAACACTGAGCACGCTCGCTGCGTGTGACGTCGTCGTGTCCTCTTCTGCGCATGCGGGACACTTTTGGCTCGTATGAAGTTCACACAGCAGATCACATACAAGTCGCATTGAACTGGAAACGTGAAGGAAGTCACAAAGAAATCCTCATTGAGCATCAAGTCCTGCAGTGTGAACGTAGCCAATCTGTGGGATTGTTCAGTCAGATAATACGCCGTCATCCTGATTGGTGACATTAAATGTCATGTCGGAGTCAGAATCCAAGGCTGTCGCTATGTTAAGGCTGTTTTTATGGGTTCTGTTGGTTTTTCCTGTCTGATAGCAGGTTCTGGATTGTTACGGGTCCGATTATCGAGTCACGACTGTATCTCTGAAAGTCTTCGATATCTTGAATAGAACTAAACTTGACAGACATGTTCGTAGTTTATGATAAAGTCTATATTACAGACTGAACTGTTTCCTTTCAGCAGCGCTGTGGGGTGAAACCGGCGGCATCACAATAGTCCAGCAACACGAAGGAGAGTCGTTCAGCTTCACGTGGTACTTTGGATCCAACGCCAGCGTCAAGTTCTTCTGCAGGAGAGAGTGTGAAGGAGGAGACGTTCTCGTTAGAACGGCCCAGAACGATGCTGTGAGCAGCAGATACGCCATCGAGTACAAGCCGTCGCCGCCCGCCGGAGGATACGTGACCGTGCTCATCACGACGCTCAACGCCTCCGACTCCGGACGGTACCGGCTCGGCGTGGGCGGGTCTCTGCTTCCTGATGAGTTCGGGGACTTTGAGATAAGAGTGACCAATGGTGAGTTTCAAATGATCAACTTGTGAAGACCACGTAGATGGTTCTGCTGTGAGTTTCCGATGACACCTGAATCAATCCTGTGTTTTGGTTCTTTCACAGATCTATTAAAGGTCTTCTGTAACACGACTCAATCTGATGGGTCGGACGTACACATGCAGCAACTTGAATTGTCAGTTTTGGTGACGTAGAAAGTCGTGTTGATTAAATGTTCTGATGCCACGTTTACACGTAGTGAAAACGTTCAATGGGCCGTTGGTTGACACGTAAACGAAGCTACGAGTCACCGAAAACCGTTTATAAAAAGTCTGTCTTTACTTTTGTACGTAGACAGGAGCAGACGGAGTGTGATGTCATCAGTGTGCGACCATGTCTACAGTTGGGCTGCTGTGATAGAAGTCAGTATTTTAGTGTTTTCCTCGTTGTGTTCGCTAACATGTAGGAGCAGCGCCACCTCTCTGTCGGTCCAGACGAACCTGTTATCGTTGAAGTAGCAGGAAGTAATTTGTGCCTCTCGTTGGTGTTTTTTTTCCATGATTCCGATTGGCCAGCATGGCTTCTGGTTACACTGCCCCCTACAGGTCTGACAGCTCATAGCAGCTCTGAACGATGTGTTTATGAGGGTTTGTGTGAGCGACGTTATTTTTGAAAACGTAGATCTGTTTTGGTGAACACCGGCTACGTGTGAACGTGGCCTCCTAACGTCTCCTGAGTGGTTCTGATCGACTCCAGCTGCTGACTCCTCTGATCCAGTTTAAACAGAACCATTTGATCCACTCATTAGACTCAGGTCATGTTTACACATAGCCGGTGTTCACAAAAACATTTCTCTGTCACACTGTATCTGGGTCGGACCATCTTGGTAAAATCATGAAAATGATGGGGGACTGCCCACGTGGTCCCATCAGGGCATGAAAATGGGCGAAATTCCTGAAATGTGAAAATCAAGCACATTCCTAAAATGTACTGTTAAACTCCGGCAGTACTGATGTTCGTGGTTCCTGCATCAACACAGTCCAGCAGCTCAAGAATTTTGGCCATTTTTAGAGCCTTGTAGGAAGACACATAAAGACAACACACCCGATCTGATCACATCTTTGGACTCTGAAGGAAAAGTTTGCCCGAGACGACCAGTTTCAAAGCTCCACGTGCCGTACTGTACGAGTTATTGATGTCGGAAGATGGTCTGAGAGGCATAACGCTAACATTTCAAAGGGCTGTAATTCTGAACACTTACAGATGGAGACCTGATGTTTGGGATTTCTTCATTAGTTTGTTAAAGGAGCACCTGCGGTTGTTTTCAGAGGAATCTGAGAGGCTGACCCGGGAGAATTCTTGGACTTTGGTTGATTTCTTATGACCGAGGAGTCGATGGGAGCTCAGGACTAAAGCGATGCATGTGACCCACACAAGTGGATGGAAGCTCTTGCTCACGACTGTCAACGTGTTTCGTGGCCTGCTCAGTCTCTCACACTGTTTTTTGCGAAGCAGGGTCGGACGGAAACCTTCACGAGAGATTCAACATTCACACCGGAGAGGAGGGAGGAGACGTTTCTGTCCACTGCTGGTTTGATTCTCTCAACGGCAGCAGGTTCTTCTGCAGGAACGACTGCAGCGACGGGGACCTCCTCCTCTGGACCACCGGACACGAAGCTCAGAGCGGCAGGTACAGCATCTCGTCTCAGGAGCAGCCCCTCATGGAGGCCTGCACCGTGGTTCTACACATCTCCCGGCTGAGCCTCAGCGACACCGGACTGTATTCGTGCGGTTTAGGAGAAGCTCTGAACCCCACTTCCTTGTCGAGGTTTCACATCAGCGTCGGTGAGTTCGAACGCGTTTCTGCTTCACGGTGAAAGAAAAATCTGTGAAACCGGTGAAAATGTGGCGCCAGAAAAAAAACATCAAGAGAAATGAAATCGTGTGACGCTCAGAAATACCAGCACATGTTTGTAGCAAAACGACGTAGTTTAACAGTAAAAACACGACGTTTCGATGTGGGCAGCATTCATAGTTTCATACTTTTTGTTAGTTAGTATATTTTTTAAATGTAATTTTAATAGATATTTTCTGTAATTTAACAAAACAGGAAATCTGTAAAATAACAGAACTTAAAAAAATATAGCTACTCCTTAATATGCACCTTTTATTCCCCCAAATAATTATAAATATCGTTTGGTTTTGTTTTTTAAACTAAAATTTAAAAAAGCATTATTTTAGGGCCAGAAATATACATTTAAAAAAAATACTATTTAGATAATATAGATTTACATTTGGACATTAATAGTTCTTTTGTGTTCTCAGCATGTAAATTATTACTTTTTTTCTGTAATTTTAATAGATATTATCTGTAATGTAGTAAAACAGGAAAAAGCTCTAAAATCATTTTCTTTTCTTTTTTTTTTTTTTTTTACTGTTTTTCAGTCATTAATATGCAGATTTTTTCCTCAATAATTCCAAATATCTATAAAATAATAATTGTTTTTGCTG